ATTCAGCCTAGAGATGATGGAAAGTCACGTTACAGGCGACACATGGCAGAGGTGTTGAAAGCGAAGCTGTTGCACCGAAGCACGAGGCTGCGACGTCTCTCCACGGCCAACGCGCGTGATGATCAGCAGGGCTGGGGCAGCTGTCTCACTCTTCCTGCAGTCCCAGCTCTGGGATTGTAACTCTGGTCTCCATTCCTTTCTCTGCCAGGTCCCCGGAGACCTCAGCCAAACCTCGGAGGACCCCAGCCTGTCAGACTTCGAAACGTAAGCAGGTTCCTGGCCTTGTTCTGCGCTCGCTGTTCTTCGAAAAACACTAGTCTTCCAGCTGTGCCGCTCTGTGGTCTGATGCTTTATTCATTGTAGAATGTGTGCCCTTTCTTCTAACTTGGATTAAAAAGAAATCCGAATGCAGAATAATCAGAAAAGTCAATGAAGTTTTAGTGTCTTTTCTTTGTACTACTTTGTTTCTAAATTTATTTTTTTTCCAACTTAGAACTTCTGTGTTGTCAGTACTGCAAATGTGACCTTTTCTGTTTCTTCTCCCAGGGGAGTGCTGCTGAAATTCAGAAGCACTTCTTTGTGGTGATACTGTTTGAGCTTTATTCAGTCCTAAGAAAGCTAAATGTCTTTTGGAGTCTATGTTAAAATACCCTTGCTGAAGAGTGGAGGTGTTTTGAAAGAACTATAATTTTGTTTGGACAGGATTGAGCAGAAGTTTTTTTTTAATAATAAGCGGCTTTAGTTATTTATCTTCTAAATATTTTTCTTGCTATCAAAAGAATGTGTGAAGTTATCAGACATTGCACAGACTCACTGTAATCCTTCTAGAAGTCGATTGGATTGTGTCATCGGTAACCTTCTTGACAATTAGACAATAAGTCTAACAGCGCCATTAACTAATCACGGTGATTGATACACCTGAAAATTGCTGTGATTATATTTCTACATGCCTGACAGATTGACAGCTCTCTTTTGTGAATAAAACATTTTTCTCCCAAGTGCCTCTCAGTGACATGAAGGCACTAATTGAATCACTCTTAATGCCCCTACCAACATCTGAATTGACATGCTTCAATAATTAATAATGCCTTCACAAATTTAGTGCAAGTCAGCGGGTTATCTTCTGTATGATTCAATATTAAACATTCCTCTTGGATATGAATATTCTTTTGGGAGTCGTTTCTTGCCTCAATAAATCCTAATGTTGTACCAGATAATTAGTGCTTTTGACATCCACAGATGAAGACGATTTAGAAAGTGTTTTTGCGTCATTTTTCTTGGTTCTTTGAATAGATATTTTATTGTCCACTACTGTGGAAATTTGTCTTTGGCTTTTCCCAAAGAAGTGCAAAACACACAAGCAAAATGCTGACAACTCGTTGAAAACACTCAGTCTCAGTTTGCAGGTGCGTCTTCAGTCTGTTGTCGAGTAATATTGTCTTGATTTCGGGGATGTTAGCGTTTAGGTGCTTAGTCCTCGAACCAAATGTGTCACTGAAGCAAAAATCAAACTACAGCAGCGCTACAACCCTGAGTGTTTTGTGCTGCAGTGTACATCGGGACACAAGCTGAAGTTGGACAGGAGTGTTTGGGAATGCCAAGTCCAACCGGAGTCCTGCGGTGTTGATTGCCTTGAGCAAGACTGGCGTGGCATGGCATGGCTGTCCACTGACATGTGCCCATGTTTCTCCTCAGAGCTCACCGGGCCCTGGTCAACGTCTGGATCCCCTCTGTGTTCCTGCGTGGGAGAGCAGCCAACGCCTACCACGTCTACCAGGTCAGAGTGCCTTTATCAGTGCTCTCCGCTGGCAATGTGCAGGCCTCTTGCGCGATTGTACCATGAGTATGTCGTGTGTCTCGGTTTCCCATAGTTTGTATTGTGATCAGCTGTGACATCCTGCTCTTCTCTGCGGATGTACTGTAACTACACCTCAGCCATAGCAGCTCACAACTGACAACCCACTGGAGCTCAGCAGGCGTGAGCCTGGTCAGTACCAGGGTGGGAGACTCCTGGGAAACACTAAGGCTGCTGCTGGAAGAGGTGTTAGTGGGGGCAGCAGGGGGCAGCAGGGGGAGCTCACCCTGCAGTCTATGTGAGTCATTAAAAATTCCAGGCCGTTTCTTGAACAGAGTAGGGGTGTTACCCTGGCGTCCTGGCCAAATTGCCCATTGGCCAATCCTGGCCTCCTAATAATCCCCATCTATGAACTTGCTTCATTACTCTGCTCTCCTCTTCACTAATAGCTGGTGTGTGGGGAGTGTACTGGTGCACTATGGTTGCCGTCACATCATCCAGGTGGGGCTGCACACTGGTAGTGGTGGTGGAGGGGAGTCCCCATTACCTGTACAGTGCTTTGAGTGGAGTGTCCAGTACAGCTCTATGTAAGAGTAAGGAATGATTATGATAAATGTGGAAGGGCCCCAGACTGGCCCCAGATTTCCAAGGTCATGGGACTGAGCAGGACATTTCCTGCAGGCCTTTGCTCTTTTCTTCTCCCAGACCGAGGACAAGCGACAGGGAGCAGGGGGATGAGAGTGCACTTTTTTAGTGCACACCTGTAGGAATTTGTTCAGACCAGAAGGAAATTGATTTCTGATCTGGAGGGAGGTGCTATTCAATAAAAAAAAGTTTTCCAATAAGAGCTTGTCAAAAAAAAATAGCTATAAACGAACGTAGGAATTGCAGTATGCATTTATGACGCTGTGTCGGGAACAGAGAAATTGGTCAACAGAACATACACTTCGGCAATAAATTTCCCCTGAGAGAGTTTGCTCCTTTATAAAACAATGGTTTATGTACTGAATGATTTGTAATTTTCTTTCAAGGATCACATGTGTGCGCTAATCTGGGGTTGAGTTGATTCACAGAGTGGCGGTTTCCATTGTTAACATTTCAAAGGTCGTCTTGAGGGTCTTCTGTCGGATCCATTACTTGACATGATTTACAGCACTCAACGGAGACGAGATTTGTTATCGAAACGCACTGAGATGAAACTGGGTGTTCTGTGTGCTAAATTGAACCACTTGCGCTCTGTTCTCAAAAGACGTTAACCCTTCTCGATCCAGCTTGCTTGCTGCTGCCGTGAATTCTTGTGCGAGTGGCGCTATAAAACATTCTACTTCCAAGATTGATTAAAAAGGGCTCATTATGTCCTCACAGAAGATCCGTGATTGATCGTTATTATACTTAACATATTTTTGTTTCAGAACTTGGCACATTCTTTTTCATTTAACAGAATAAAATTTGACCTTGTTAAAATTCAAGGGTGGTTGGATCTGCCTTGATTGGATTAATAAACTGCATACTTTTCTTTCATGAGGAACCTCCGTTCTCGGGCAGAGAAAGCTTTTTATTTCTTGTAAATTAAATTATGGCCAATCTTCTTTTATTATTGAGAATTAATATGATCTTTATAGAACAATACTGCCGTACAAAGCCCTCCTGTCAGTCAGCCCCTTGGTCTCAACAGGCGTAGGTGGCGGAGCGTAGCTGTGGACAAAAACTCCTCCCACCTATCCGCAATTGAAAAATAATACAAATTCTGGAAACTCATCATTGTATTCTGAGAAAATATCACTGCGCTGTCCTGAGAATCGACAAAATGTTAGCGTGCAGAATATTACATCAGCAAATTGCAGTTCTGCAGCTTTTTAAATATTTTTTGAGAAGACAAAACTGAACACGCCGATCACAGCTGTACATCCCCGTATATGAATTTATACATGATACATTTATAGGTGCTTTTTTCGAGGCTGTCCTCATTTATGAAGTTGTGTTCCGTTCCTTTGTAGTGGAAAGTGTGTTAATCTGCCGCGGTAAAAGATCTTTGTAAATCATGCTGTCTGGGTTTTATTGTTCTGATTACTCAAACTGCTGGGACAGTAGCGCGCGCGAGTTCAGGCACTGTTATCACTGATGGTACAGAGCAGGCTCAGATGGCTTGTTGGCTCGATTCTTATTTTTTGCAGTTTTGTTTTGGTAAGAAGCGCTCTAGCTTCTGTCTTTGTCTGTGTCAACTGGGGGGCAGGAGTTTAATTATGGATTTGCAGCTCTTGTGTTTTTTCAGCCACGCTGTCGGACATGTGTTAGACTGTTAATGGAACCAGTCGTTGAGTCACAGCTCTACTGGCTGAAGTATCTGTGGGGAAAATCTTAACACTTTTCAAAAGTGTTTTGTTGCCTTTTGTGTTTCTTTCCTGCATTCTGAAGTGGTGGCGAGTTCTTTTCATGAGTGGGGTTTTTAAGCTCACCGTCATTTTTAATGTGCCTCGTTAGTACAGCATGCTGATCTTTATGCTTCGCTTTGCTTAATTTGCTGCTTGTCATTCCTGTACTGAGTAGGGTCGGAGTCCCCTGTTGGTTTTCCCCTTTTATTTGGATCACAGGCCTGTCGAACACTGCCGCTAACTAGACCTTGTTAAGGACTATTGGTGGTAATTAGGGAAAAACCTCTCCCATCATGTACGCTGGAGTAAAACACCACAGATTGCACGATTCCAGCAGGAGGTTTCTTCTCAAATGAGCATGCTCTTTTTTTCCCCGCACATTGACCAACCCGAATGTGTCGCCTTGGAATCTCGTCGCCTTCCGTTTCAAAAATTAATATTTTATGAGGAAGGTTCCCCATTCTCAGCCTTGTCAGTTTGTGCCCAGGATGAAGAATTGCTCACCCTGACGCAGCACCGCCACCCTCAAACCCAATTTGTGTGCGTCGTAAGGAACCGGAGGGATAAAACCAAAGGCCTAGGCTTTGACTGATCACCGCTGAATGATTTGGACCGGCGCCGGGCCTGCAGGTAATCGTGCCGGGTGAGAGGGTTACGGGCTCGCAGGTCCGGCGTGTTTAACCCCACCCCCCTTTCCTGCCGGATCACACAGACCCGGGGTTTCAGCTGCGCTTGTGCAAACAAAAAAAGGGAAGATGGCTAATGCATATTCTGAATGTTCTTGATATGAAAAGAGAAGAATTAATGGAGCCGTGAGCATTTCCACTCCTGCTGGCTGTGTGTGTTTGATGCGCATATAAATACCGCGCCGTTCCTCTTTCATCCCCCTGCTCCACATTCCCCAGCTCTGATAAAGGGGCCACGAGGCCCAGCGAAGGAGATGAGCCTGTGTCTTGCGTCTTATTGATAATTCACTCAGAATGAGCTATTCCCTTTGATCTGTTAACCAGCTGAGCAGAGTGCTTCCCAACAATGTCAGCGTGTCAGACTTTCTTCTTTTTTTCCTGTTTCGTATTTTATCCCCCTAGCTCGCCGGGGATGTTAATGAACTCCGGTTTTGTTTGTTTTTGTTAATTTCCCTCCCTTGTTTATGGCTGCTGGAGGCGCAAAACACGAAATGCCTCAGAAAGGCCTCTTTCCTTCCAATCGTCACCGGAGGCAGTTTGTCGTGAGTTACCTTCAAATAGCGCTTGCTGTCTGTCAGAAGCAAAATATGTACATATAAAGTGAGTCCTATTAGAATGTATCATTGAAAAAATGTTAATTTTTTTTTTTTTACAGCTCGTTGGTGAACAGCCACAGCTCATTTATTGTCTGTGATTCCTAGTCCCACAGAGAGATGAGAATGGCCTTGCTCAGTGCTCTGCATTAAAAGGCTTGGTGAACTGAGAATAGCTCTAATACTCATTAATAAAATGACAGGGCTGTAGAGCTGGAATTGAGTGTTCCTGTGTTCATTATTCAGTTGAATTTGCTCTAGAGGTGAGGTTTTAGTGATTTTGCTCTTTAAGGTGTCCCAGTTGTATTATATATATATAAAAAGAAAACATCTTTACCTGCGTCTCAGTTTCCTTGTTAGGACATAATAGCAGCTACAAATGAGAGAAGGTCATTCTGCCCATCTAGCCTATGTGGTGGTTAGTAACTAATTGATCCAAGGATCTTATCTTCTCTGTTCAAGAATAAAAAGGTTCAGTTCTTTCAGCCTGTCAAGGTAGGACTTTCCCTTCAGCTTCAGAAGGTTACTGGTTGCTCCTCTCTGGACTGATCCCAGAGCTGATTTCTTTTCTTTGCCATGGTGGAAGGAAAGTGGAAACATTGAGAATAGAGCTCCTTAGTCTGTGACGTTCGTTGAGCTGTAGTGAGTAACGGAGAGCCGCTTTGGGCACAGTTGCTCATGGGGTCAGGCACAGCTGGGTGAGAGAGTGAAGACCCTACAACCTACCCGTTGCACAGGGTTTAAAACCCTGACGCACTTGGAAAAAGTTTGCCGGGAATCTCTGCCGAGTTTTCCTGAACTAGCGCCGACAGCCTGCATGATTAACCTTACATCATAGGCTCATTACAAAACCAGCGCGGTTTTCATTTATCCTCATTATCTCGGCACTGAAAACGTAGCCTGTGATTAATATATTGGGCCGCGCGTGTGCTGCCTCATAATGGCTCTTGCGTAGGCTCTGTTTATGAGCTGTGGCCGGGTGATCTGACTTGCTAACTGGTCCTGAAACATCCTGTTTTGCACAGGTGTCCCGTAGACATTTCACTTATTAAACACTCTCACTTATTCCTCTGACATGAACATGTACTCCCACAGTGCCGGGTTGTTTAATATGCCTTAATAATATGTTTAATATGTTTGATTTTGGAGCCTATCGCTAGTTTGAGGCCTAACTTGTAGCCTAAGCCCTGGTGATTCTGAGACCTGGCTTATAGTTTTCTTCATTCCCAGCTGGAAGAGCAGATTGACTTAGTGTGGAGTAGACGGGTTTACACAGGAATCTGGACTGGCAATTCCTGCCTCTCCACTTGCCAAGAAAGCAGTTCGCCTTC